TCATACCAGTTATTATTATTATTGTTATTATTATTATTATTATTATTATTATTATTATTCGTCTTCTTATTCTTTATTTTTCGTCGTCTCTCTTGATCGTCTTCATCGTCTTCACTTTCTTCTTCCTCGTCTTTCTCTTCTTCTTTTTCTTCATGCCTCTCTTCAATTCACTGTGCTTCGTACCTCTCAATAAATTTTCTGTTAGACCTTTTTCCGCCATCCATTTACTCATACTTGCTAGTTAAGTGCTGAGTGGATTTCCTCTTGCTTTTAATCTATCCCATTACGTGCTCTAGAAATTGCCACAGTCTCTTCCTGATGTTACGCACAAGTCTCTTTTTTCTTTTCATTTCTTCTAAAACTACGTGGTTGCTCCCATGTTAGGGCCGTGCATTATTCTGTAGAACAAGGATTCTATTGCTTCAAGCTGCTTCAAGTGTTTTCTCCATTTTACAAAATAAAGTCTAATCCCTAAAAGTAAAAGGAGTATTAACAGGATTGAAATTTGTGTCCATAACGAACATGGCCTATGATAAAAATTTTATTCGCTTTTAACTCGGTTAGATTCAGAAAGAGACGGCTAAAATTTCCTCAGCACATAACAGGAAGAAGGAATTGGAAATATTAACTGTCACAGGATATATCTAAGGCAAAATGTACAGTTTTAACGGTTCAGTGATATGAGGAGTTTGTCACATCCATAAATAAATAAATAAATAAATAAATAAATAAAAAAATAAATAAAAAAATAATTATACTATCACTGTGTCGTGTCAATAAAAATTAAACAAAAAATAATTATCATAAATTCACTCGTTCTATACCAATGAGAATCGACCTCACATTTCTCCTCTACACACACAAACACATGACATACTCCCTCAGAATCTGTCGAGCATAGAAATGAATACAATATGGGAACCAGTAATTAGGAGTGTGAAAGAAATGCGATAATAACAACAAAAAATTGCAATATGAGCTCTGGTAAAAACATGTATGACAACAGGAAAAATTGCAAAAAAAAAAATGTCAAGAAAATGGTTGCTGAAGATATTAGGCTTATAATACCCAGAAATTCATACACAGATATCCTCAAGGACACATGGCACAATGGATAAAGACGTTGGTTAGATCCAGTGACAGGACCCAAAGATTGTGAAAAAAGCGAAATTAATGGTTCAGTTCGACATTCCAACCACCTGAAGAAGGCTGGAGCGTACAACCACCGAAACGTTGAGATAAATATGGCGACAAAGATGAGGACAATAGTCCCAATAATATAAATAGCAGACATTCTCCCTATTGAATAAGCAGTTAACACGGACAGGTCGTTAACACGTGCGTTTACAAAAATGCAATCATAGTAAGAGAAGGTAGTAAAAGGAAAGCTAGAAGAAAGGACTAAGCATCAGCTGCAAGAATACAGAATGCATGTTTTTAGAAAAGGAACAATACCACACCCAAATTGGAGATACCGAAATCAATCACTACAGAAAGTTCAATATCTGGGGAGAGTTTAACAAGAGGACAGGAAGCGCAAGCTCAAAATCTGATATCTCATTCTAATAGCGAAAGTATTAAAAAGGAGGAAACAAGGAAAAGTTTATTGTTAATAATATAATAATAACATATTTCCTCCTATTTTTCTAAAATTTTAGATTTTCTAAAATTCACTGCTATAGCAGTGAATTTTAGAAAATCTCTCAAATGAAGAAGAGACTTGAAGTAACAGAATGGGGACGATGGGACGGAAATGTGAGCAACAAAGAAGGTTTAGAGAAAATGGAAACAAAAAGGACACTTATACTAAACAGCCGACAGATACAGTTGAATGTTCTACGGCACGTAACGAACAAAGAGGACTTAAAAGTCTGTCCCTCAGGGGACATATTGAAGGCATAAGAAAAGCATTCAATGTATAAAGGATCGCCAGAACAGGAAGCAGAAGAGATAGCTAAAAGACAAAAAAAAAACAGGGAAGTGTTGAGAGTTATGATCGTCCATGGCCTGAAGGGACACGGCACATAGAACAAAACATTTAAAACTCCTAGGTGATGAATGGAAGAGGAGTCTTAATAAATAGATGGAGTGAGGTCTGGAATTTTTGTCTAGAGGCAATAAACCAGACGGTTTTATGGAATGAAGCAGTATGTTCTAAAGTGAGAAATAAAAAAAAAAATAAAAATACGGGTAGGTCTTAAAAGTTTTGGAAAATAAGAAATTTTAATTATCGTATAATAATCGCGTTTGTCTTTCACTTTGGTATTTCGCACGATTGTTTACCGCTGCCATTACCTCATAAATAATGAACTCTTCCGTTTAGATTGCGTGGGAAAGAGTGAAAAACAAAACAGGGTGATTGAAAAGAAACTCCCTATTTTATGTATGATGGACTCTCCCGTTTTGTAAACATTATAGTTTGATGAGAGTGTCCATTGTACATAAAAGAGGGAATAACTTTTCAATCACCGTGTATTTAGATTCAGCTTGGAAATGAAAGAAAAAAGGAAGATAGAAGTGTTTAACGTCTCGCGTCAATAATTAAAAAATAATGGACTGTTCCGTTTTTATTGAATGAAAAAAAAACAAACAAAAAAAATCCCATATCAGAGACTATACTTGATTTCAGTTAGAAAATGAATGAAAGAAAGAAAGAATAAAGAGAATATAGAAGTGTCTACCGTATGTTTTACTGAAATGAAAAATCCTGTAAATTTCCAATTATGGAAATAACGACCAACATTCATATTTATGATTGTTATTGCAATATTTTGTTAAAGTTGTAAAGCACAAATATTTAATGATGTGATAAGGGAATTTCTCCAGATATTGTATTGCTGTGTCATGTCGTTTCATTTGTACCCACTTCTTAAAATAACCACCAACATTCATATTCATGATTGTTATTGCAATATTTTGTTAAAGTTGTAAAGCACAAATATTTAATGATGTGATAAGGGAATTTCTCCAGATATTGTATTGCTGTGTCATGTCGTTTCATTTGTACCCACTTCTTAAAATAACCACCAACATTCATATTCATGATTGTTATTGCAATATTTTGTTAAAGTTGTAAAGCACAAATATTTAATGATGTGATAAGGAATTTCTCCAGATATTGTATTGTTGTGTCATGTCGTTTCATTTGTACCCACTTCTTAAAATAACCACCAACATTCATATTTATGATTGTTATTGCAATATTTTGTTAAAGTTGTAAAGCACAAATATTTAACGGTGCGATAAGGGAATTTCTCCAGATATTGTATTGCCGTGTCATGTCGTTTCATTTGTACCCACTTCTTAAAATAACAACCAACATTCATATTTCTGATTATTATTGCAATATTTTGTTAAAGTTGTAAAGCTCAAATATTTAATGATGCGATAAGGGAATTTCTCCAGATATTGTATTGCCGTGTCATGTTGTTTCCTTTGTACCCACTTCTTAAAATAAAGACCAACATTAATATTTATGATTATTATTGCAGTATTTTGTTAAAGTTGTAAAGCTCAAATATTTAATGATGCGATAAGGGAATTTCTCCAGATATTGTATTGCCGTGTCATGTCATTTCATTTGTACCCACTTCTTAAAATACCGACCAACATTCATATTTATGAATGTTACTGCAGGTTGATTGAAAAGAAACTTCCTATTTCATGTATGATGGACTTTCTCGTCTGGTGAAAATTATAAAAATTTCAGTTAAACGATAGAATCCAAAAAATAAAATAGGTGTTTTCTTTTCAACCACCCCGAATCAAAATTCAGGGTGAAAATGAAAAGAAATAGCTTGTTGAGATTTCTCGTGTACGCAATAAGGAAAGAGGGCTTGGAAACTTTGATACTGAAAGCAGGGTGTGCAGATGAAAACCACGCCTAACCTACCTAGCGAACTTGTGTAAATGGATGGCAGATCAACTTTGAACCAAAAGAGAAAATTTATTAAGAACTACAAAATCCTGGATATTGTGGAGAACCATGATCACCGACGTCCTGACGGGACACTGTACACAGAAGAACAACATGTAGGGGAAGACGAATAATTTTGCAACAAAAAGAGCTTTCCAATGTTTTTCAAGCTGTATTTTTGTGGAGTTCGGCGTATCGGGGAAATTACCCTTGACTGTTTAAATCAGCTTTAACTTGGAGACCTTAATTCTGACTGGAAATGTACAGCTGTGATCAGAACTTATAGTTTGTAAAGGAGAAGTTTAATTTGACGTTTATTTATTACTCACTTCAAACTGTCCGTCTCACACGTAACGGAATCGAAGAGGTGATGTTAATTAACATTTAAGATCATGACATTCTTCATTGACATTAAATATTGCCTTCTCGCATCTCATCACAAAAGCCGCTCTCACTCAACTATTTATACTTCTTTGAGTCCAAGCTAGATATTGATTATAGTTTCAGTTGTTTTACAAAGATCTTTTTTATATATTCATGTACCCCTTAAGTGATATGACAACTTTCGTTAATTACTTTAGTATCGATCGCAACAGTCGTTGATTCAGCGGACTTTCTTGCCGTCTAATTTAATCGCTTGTCATCAGTGAAAGTAGCTATAAAAAGTAATCATTTGTAATTCTAATTGTAAGCGTGATCCATAGAAATTACAGGATTCGATACATGAATAGAACACTAAGTAATTAATATATTTTAATGATACACAAGAAACGATTGTTTTTGAAAAAGTTAGTTTCCATTATATAACTTTATTTAATTATTGGTTATAATTTTAGTACTTTTCATCTGGCTCCATTATCAAATGCTGGCAATACTACAGAGAAAATTTATGAGTAACGAAGAAAATTAATATGAATAAAAACTACTTACTTACTTACTTACTATCTATCTATCTATCTATCTATCTATCTATCTATCTCTGATCGTATATAATTTAGACATCTATCTATCTATCTATTTCTGATCGTATATAATTTAGGTTTCTATCTATCTATCAATCTATCTCTGATCGTATATAATTTAGGTTTCTATCTATCTATCTATCTATCTATCTATCTATCTATCTATCTATCTCTGATCGTATATGATTTAAGCTTCTATCTCTCTCTCTCTCTCTCTATCTATCTATCTATCTATCTCTGATCGTATATAATTTAAGCTTCTATCTATCTATCTATCTATCTATCTCTGATCGTATATAATTTAAGCTTCTATCTATCTATCTATCTATCTATCTATCTATCTCTGATCGTATATAATTTAAGCTTCTATCTATCTATCTATCTATCTATCTATATATATATATATATCTCTCTCTCTATCTATCTATCTATCTATCTCTGATCGTATATAATTTAAGCTTCTATCTATCTATCTCTCTCTATCTATCTATCTATCTCTGATCGTATATAATTTAAGCTTCTATCTATCTATCTATCTATCTATCTATCTATCTATCTATCTATCTATCTATCTATCTGATGGGCGCGTGACCAAAGAGTTAGAACTAATCTCACCATGCTCGATTTGTCAGGAAGGATATTTACTGATGTTATAGACTGAGGTCGATCCCAGCGTCAACGGGTTGATCCAAGCCTTGTGAGTGAAATTGGGTAGACCGAACTCTTAAGGGATGACGATAGCTGTGCTATCACAAAGCTGCAAAAGCTTGAGCGTGCTGTTCAAATTGTTGATCACGCTAGATAATATGCTCTCCCCAGAATCTGTAACGAAGTTCTGCTCAGCATAGTTGCAGTATAAACCATAATAAGTATAAATAAACTGTGGGTGTTGATCAAACACAAATGTGCCTGAGCGAGCGTCTGCAATAGCCGCCCTGGTAGACGGGTAGCCTCGAATACGAGCGACCAGCTATTATTGTCTGTCAACACTCTTATCTATCTACCTATCTCTGCTCTTATCCATCAATCTACCCATGTCTGATCATACATAATTTAGGCTTCTATCTATCTATCTATCTATCTATCTATCTATCTATCTATCTATCTATCTATCTATCTATCAGTCCGTTCATATGTATCTATCTATCTATCTATGAGAAATCTATGAGAAAAGTCGGGTTTATATAATATTATACAATTCTTCCTCTAGGGTCTATGCATTTTCATGATGTGATCATGACTCTCCACACCTTCCGAAAAGGTTAGCCTCTAATGATTATGGTTAGGTACATTGACCAATTCCCGATTTTAGTGCTTATGTTGGGATATGTTACAAATTGAACACTGTTTTAGTCCTTATGTTAAGATAAACTGAACAAAACTGTTAAAGAGTCCATCTTGCACGTTTAAAAATCTACCATTCGTCCGTGCAATGTATATTGTTGCCACATCTGGTCTGATGTTCCTGGTATTCATCTCGAGGTTCATGACAAAATCCAAAGAAGAATCGGCAATATAACCGATGCTGACCTGGCATCTCGACTTCAGTCACTTTCTCATCGATGTGATGTGGTTTACCTCTGTCTTTTCTACAAATATTTTCATGGCAACTGCTCTGACAAACTCTTTTCCTATTCCCCGACTGTGAATTTAAGCGTGCTACTAAATTAACCTCTAGGTCCCACCCTTTTACTGCTTAAATAGTTAAATGTAACCGCCATTTCTACTCCAACAGTTGCGTTTCTCGCACTTCCCGCCTGTGGAATATCCTTTTGTTTACTTGCTTCCCTGAGAACCACAATATTTAAAAATTTAAATGAAGCTTCAAAACATCATCGTAAATCCCGTTCATCTTTTATCCTTTTCTTTAACCTCCCTCCTATGCCCAGTCTTTTCAGCCACTTTCACTCTCTGTACCCCCCCTCTGTATACTAGTGGCCTTCCCGCCTTGCTTGGGCTGAAATGATTAAAAAAATGTTAAACAACATTCGCTTCTATTTCTCATAATGCATGAACTTCAGCAACACCCACTTTTAATCATTAGGGTCGCATAATTTAACAGTGTCGCGCTCAGTGCTGATTGCAGGGTATATTGAACAAGCTCACCTTTAATGGATACATAAGTCGGCTCAAGGTTGTTTTTTGGTGCTGACTGTGGAATATATTAGACAAAGGTTAGTCTTAGTACTAATTGTTCCATAAGTTTAACAACTCCTATCTTCAGCACTTATAGTGGGATATATTCACCAGCGCTCGCCTTTGGTGATTGTGGTACGATATATATATAAAAAACAAAAACGAAAAAAACAAGGCTCACCTATCTCAAAAACAAGGTAACCTAGAGAGGGTTACTGAATGGGGAATAACCAAAACGGAGGTTGGAAATGAAATGGTAATCTTTATAACATCAACAAAATACAATACTCGCTAGCGCCGTGAAGTAGGTAAACCACAGCTAGTGGTGGTCTATATTACCCTTACAATAGTGTTATGAGGATTGGGATATACCCACTAGTGTTTATAGGTACGGTATATAACATATTTATATTGGAATATTTTCAACAACGTTCACCAGTACTACGGAGGGTGGGATCAATGGAACAATTCTTGATTTAGTACTTATGGTTGGATATATTGAAAAAAGCGCGATTTTTGTATATATGACAAGATATATTGAACAGCATTCGCTGTTAGCACAAAGGGTGTGATATATTTTTTAAATCATCGCCTTTAGTGCATGGTGTGGGACGAATCGAATATGTTGTCATATATTGAAGAAAGCTGGTCATTGATTTTTATAGTGGGATATACTGAACAATGGTCACCTTTAGTGCTTATGCTTTCATAAATTTTGGAATATACTGAACAACACCCGATTTATGGTTGCCTAAATTGATCCAACATCAATTTTAGAGCTGGTATATTGAAAAAGAAAAACCTCGTATTTAGTGCTCGTGGCTGCTTGTTCCAAGGCACCTATCAGTGATTATTGTGGGGTATATAAACCAACTCTCGCCTTGCATATGGTTGGTTAAATTGATCTAATATTGCTTAATTTGTAATATACTGAACAACGCGCGCTTTCATTGCATATGCTTGCATAAAGTTATCCAAAGTCGCTTTCACTGGCGATTTTGGAACATACTGAACAGGATTCGTCTTTACATTATTTACATTATTCGGACTATTGTACTCATCTTTGTCGCCATATCTATATGGCAACAAAGATGAGGACAAGAGATATCATTTCTACTAGATATAATAGATGAGGACAATAGATATAATTTCTACATATATATGGCCTGACGATTGCGTTCACTTTTACGTTTCGACCGTTGTACGCTCCGGCCTGCATCAGGTGGTTGGAATGTCGAACTGAACATTTAATTACGCTCACTGGGGTAGACTTTTCTAGTTCCACATACCATGTTTAATGGATGTCAGTTATCTCCTAAAGGACACATGGCACAATGAATAAAGACACAATGAGACAAAACTGAGGAGGGATTCTGGGGAACGCTTACCGTGTATATAAGTAATTGCTATATATAATTTTCCATTGCCATTAAAATATTTATATAAATAATTGCCATATTTAACAGGGTATTGAACTCACACTCTATGGGTCCTGTCATTGGATCTAACTAACACCTTTATGCAGTGGAGAACATTCAGAGGGAAATTAACAGGCGATAACTGATAACTGACATCCATTAAACATGGCACATGGAACTAGAACAGTCTACCTCAGTGAGCGAAATAAACGGTTCAGTTCGATATCCCAACCACCTGAAGAAGGCCGGAGCGTACAACGGCCGAAACGTTGTAATAAATATGGCGACAAAGATGAGGAAAATAGTCTGAATAATGTAAATAATGTCGAGGTGATTAGTTTTTTTTTCTTTTTTGCAATTAACGCTTATACTGGAAATTGCTTTCACAAATTTAATCTCTTGTCATGTCTTCTTTATACGATCCTAGATAGCGGCGTTCAAAGTCTCGTATATGCTGGTGGAAGTACTCACCTTGGTCTCCTGAGTACGTCCCTATGTTCTCCTTGAATTTACCAAGATGAGCGTCATCAATATAGACTTTGAAGGTTTTGGGACGTCAAAGAATACTTGTTGTCACTTTCGTAATGCCCATTGTAGTAGAGACTTTGTAATCGCATATACAACTATAGTAACGCTGTTGAACAATACTGGTGCCAGACGCCTTCGTTCGGGAAATTTTTGAAACTTTTAGAAAATTCTAGAAAATTCACCATCAGCAATTCAACGGCGAATCTTTCTGAAATATAATGAAAAACGAGTTAGTTTCAAAACATAAATTGTCCAGGTCACAAAAGAAAAATTTTGAAGGGAATAATTTTCTTTGCTTTCGAGACAGAAGCAATTAAGAAATAACAATTACTGAACAAAGATAAGCAAAATCAATAATTGTTACACATTGCTATCAGTAAATCATTAAATTTCATTCTATTAATCTTTCACATCCAGCAATATATATATATATATACATATATATGGGGAGAGAGAGAGAGAGAGCGAGAGCGAGAAAGAGAGTGAGTGAGAGAGTATTCGTAAACCCAGTAGCTCCTGCTGATCTAAGTCGGTTGATATTGATTTCACTGTTTAATCAAATATAAAAGTGATAGCAAATTGAAGACGTCTAACCAATAAGAACATATATAACTATATAAAGAATAAACAGACACACACACCCCTAATATATATATATATATATATATATATATATATATATATATATATATATATATATATATATAAAAATGAACATAGAAGTCAACACTTAGAGGCGACAGTCTGTTTCATGCTATATGCAATCGTTAGGCCACGTGTGCTATAATTTTTCTCGGCTATTTATACATATACGGGTCAGTGGTGCATTGTGGGTCGATTATGGCGGTTATTTTACCGGAAGTCGTTTATTTATTTATTTGGGTTAAATTATTTTGCTTGTTTTTATTTAATTTTATTTTTTGTTTCTTATTCTATTTATTTATTCACTTATTTTCTAATCGGTGTTTTTATTAACGTAGTAAAAATTTGTTTATATCACTTATTTAATAGTTTTGTTTTGGTTTGAGGATTTAATTAAAGCTATTTGTTCGGTTTTGGGGTTGGTTGTTGTAGTTTATACTAACTATTATTTGGGCAGGAACAGTTTTTAATTTGTGTTTATTTGGGTTGATTATCTTTATTTGTTTTTTCTAACGGTAACTTTATCGGGATTGGTTTGTTTATTTATTTACTTGGATGAATTTAGGTCAATTTATTTTACTTGTATATTTTCTCTTTTCGGTTTTCGATTTAGTTCTTAGTTGTTTTTTAACCTCTTTTTTCCCCTTGGGTATTGGTTTGTTCATTTACACGCTAAAATACCTAAGGTTTTGCTGGACGAGTATAGTTGCTTATATCTATAAGGCCATTGGTATTCTATATATATATATATATATATATATATATATTTTGAGTTTGAAACCCTACGTTTCACGCTTGAAATCAGGGTTACAAACTCATATCTATATGACTGATTACGTTAGCTAGATCACTGATCTTGAGCGCATATATATGTAGAAATTATATATATATTGCCTGACGATTGTGTCTAGCATGAAACAAACTGTCATCTTTAAGTGTTGACTTCAATGTTCACTTTTACATTTATATATATATATATATATATCATTGTTATTAATAATAATAATATATTTTTATCATAAGAGATTATAATATAGCATTTTGAAATCACTATACAAAAGATTTCATGTTTTAATACTATGATTGTATGGGGATGGTAAGAAACATAGTATTCAAACGTAAATGCTTCTGTTTAGCATTTCAAAATGTTTTTATTATAATCTCTTATAATAAAAATATAATAATAATATATAGCTCTACTTTGTATTGAGCATTTTTCTGAAAGTATATGCTCTGATTTTTACTACATAAGTTCTTTCCCTCAATTGAATATGTATATATATATATATATATATATATATATATATATATATATAAAATAAATAAACCTCCATAGACACTTAACCAGACTAGACGATGTCATCTTTCGCTTAAAATTTAGACACCCCAAGCTTACCCTGACTTGACGTCTTTAGATGTAACTGAGATATTGATACAAATTATCAACCC